AAGCGTGTAAGAGGTGGATTCCTTGAGTTAACACTTCATTCATTAGTAGTTTTAGTCTCACAATCCTAATTAGACGCAATCTACTACTACTACTAGTACTACTAGTACTACTAGTACTACTAGTACTACTACTACTACTACTACTACTACTACTACTACTACTACTACTAAACAGTACATGTTATTCCGTGCACAGATACTAATTCTAATCCGTTCGAAAAAAAATGTGATCAACAAATCTGATCRCAAAAAAYTGTGATCAAGAAATTCATCASAATTTTGTGATCATTTCTGATCACATTTTTTTGTGATCAAAACCGATCACATACTAATGAAAAAGGGGGACCGGAGAATTTAAATTTTTCCAAAAACATCCAAATCGACATGGTTCCAGTTCTGGAGAAAAGATCTTTTCTCGCCAATCTYACCATAATAAATGTGATACTACTCAAATTGTGTTTTGTTCAGTTCCATATCGTTGCCAACCGTTTACAGCAGTTGCGAGCACAACAATGGTATCTCCATCGAGAACTCTCACAATCGTCATCACAGGCGCCAGTCGGGGTCTTGGGGCGGGAATGGCTCGTACCTATCTGGAACGGGGCCACAAAGTCGCTGGGTGCTCCCGGTCGCCACCGCCCGCAGATTTGGACAGTTCCGCTCCCGACAACAGCAAGGAAGGCCAGCTGTATTACCAATCCGGTGTAGACGTCTGCGAYCCGCAAGCAGTACAGGAWTTTCTGGACAACACGGCCAAGAAGCTGGGCACTGACTCCATTGATCTCTGGATCAACAACGCGGGGATTCTCGAGCCCATCAAACCTCTCCGAGACACCAACATCACCGACTTTCGAAAGAACATTGAAGTCAACCTCATGGGTGTGTTCCACGGCACGAAAGCCTACATTAACCATTGTCGATCACGAGCTCGTGTCGGTGCGGCACCTTCTACGCTGGTGAATATTTCTTCGGGGGCGGCTGTGAAGGGTTATGGTGAGTGGTTTGTTTTGTTCATCCTAGAAAAAGGCGAGGAGACGACTATATGTGTCGATTAGTGSTTTTCAATTTTCTGAATGTTCTTCTCATGTCGTTTCGTCTTATATCAGCTGGTTGGAGTGCCTACTGCAGCAGCAAGGGAGCCGTCGATCGCTTGACCGAGTGCGTTCTAGCGGAGGAGTTAGCCGATGCAGACAATTCGAAGTTATGTCTTCGCGCGTACAGCATCGCCCCGGGTGTGATCGACACCGATATGCAGGCAATGATTAGGGGTATGGATAAAGCCGACTTTCCCATGGTCGACAAGTTTCACGAGATCAAGGCGAACGATTCCTTCAATACCCCGCCATACGTTGCCATCGAGATCGAACGATTGGCTCTACTGGAGGGTCCCCAGGCGCTCCCTGTGGTACAGCGCATTTAGGCACGTTGATTAAAATCCTAGGGTATTTCAAATCAATAATTGTTTTTTACCTCTGGGGAGAATGCAATATATATGTATGTGACCGTTYCTCAAAGTGATTTGGAAGAATTCATGGTATCAATTTTAGCATTTTTTTACATTAGTGGCCATACAACTGCTTCTTMRGGCTGCAAACTTCTCAGCTTTCATTATGGTGATATGGTGATCTGATACACATTATTTTAGCATGACAGAGTCGACAACCTGACCTTTCCAACATTGATGTTGTCTCTTAATGTCTTTGGATGACTGAAGTCATGSTGCTAGTAAGGTGGATTATCTTGTGTTCATTAGTATTTTGTGTGCACTGTACAAGTATTTAATTGGTGCACAACTTGAGAGAGAAGATTGATTCTTTCTCTGAAGTCTAGCAGGTTTCRATCTTCCAAAATGATTCTCCAATAAAGATTATCTGGCATCATTACATAGATTGACTGATGCATAACCGGAAGGGGAATGAAAAKGCTTTTTTTGGTGTATCTCTCTGGCCTGACAGGGTTTGCAATCCYGGTGCTTTACTTTCATTTTTGAGGAAGAAAATACCAATCCCCTAAGTGAACCACTCAGCTTCTTCTATCATGATTCATAAAGGCACTTTGTCATTTCCAATTTTTAGATCCTTGACGGACAATGTTCATTGAGATGTGGAGGACATACGGTTGAGGGTAACATTGATTTGAGAACTTACAGAATGGTATCAATATGTACACTTTTTCCTCCATTGCAGTTACAGTATTACTTGAAACTTTATGGTCAAATGAGTATCAGTACTTACGAGTTACTGGATCAAGTATGTACAGTAACTGTGGTGTTGCGCGGTCTGCATGTGTACCATAAATGTAACCAGAAAATGTACTCTGTGGTTGCGGTCTGTGTTATTATCGTGTGAAGAGTTTTTGAACTGTGGGTTTGAGAGCTTAAAGCTCTCAAACTGATACAGAGGACAGTGATACAAGTTGGTGATACAGAGGAGCTGCTGATACAATATGGCGTTC